CCACTCCATGGGCTCGGGCTATCATTTGTTACCAGTGTAGTTACATTATTACACAGCTAGTGTGGGTGCAGTTATACTGGTATAAAGGTGCCTTGTACCTGAATAGCTCACTCCCTTACGTTTTACCCAGAGTGGTAGAGAGGCACTATTTTTGTCTACACACAAGTCCACATTGATCACAATCCCTAGCTCTCTTGGCAAGTCAGGATCATTTTACAGAAGGGAAAAGAGCAGGGAAGAGACACACCCACATTAACCCAGAAGGCCAGGGGCAGAACCCAGGTCTCCTGAGTCCCAGTCCAGTGCTCTATCCACTAGGCTGCACTGCCTGATCACATAGGAAGTGATATAAATGTGTCCACATGACAGGCTTGTCTACAGGGGACACTGTAGGAAATTTAAAACAAAGTCAATAAAGCGGGATGTTAAAGCCCATAAGTTAAAGTGCAGTATACCCGGTAAGGATACTGCTGTACTCAGCAGTAAAGTGACCCTAGTTTGCTGTAGCTTTTGTTATGAGGAAGGTGGGAGGAGGATGGATGGATGGATAGATAGATAGACAGATAGATGAGAATATAGAAGAAAGGTAGGATAGGCCGGAATATAGAAAAGAAAAAATAGACACCCCTACCCTGCTCCCCACCTTCCCCACCCCCTGAGCACTGGGCCGTGGAAGGACTTTGATAATTATTTGTTTCACTTGAGCAGTTCTGCGGCCAGCCAAGGCCGAAGCCCTGTAATGAGTATGGATTTGCCAGTAAATAAGTCCCCTGCGCTCCCCGGGCCCTGTAATAAATGCATTTGGAGTAATCTGGCTATCACCTGCCGTAATTGCTAGCTGTCAGCCGAAATTGATGCCGCATGCACTGACTTTGCTACCGTTTTGCCCTTCCTTCACGCTGATCTGTCTTCTCCTCCATGCACCTCCCCTCTATCCCAGGAAAGCTCATATTCCAGTTAGCCACCGAAGCAAACCCCCCCTCGCCCCTCCCTCACCTGAGCCAGCCCAGGGAGGAGAGATTTGATGCTAATGAGAACAGAGCTCTGTTTCTTCCTTGCATTGAAGCCAGGAGTCCTGGCTCCCACCTCTGTTCTGGGCTCATGTACCAATGGGTCCTGGCAGCAACAGGAGGGACCCCGGTGGTGTGTGGGAAGGGACACAGGCCAATCTGGCGAGATGTAAGCAGGCGGAGAGCACTGGCTTGTGGTGGTGGCTGAAATTTGTCAACCGAAACTTTTTTTCTGGCGCAAAAATGCAGATTTGGGTCGACTGAAATGTTTTGGGAATTCGCGGTGATGTCACCCAATTGTTTCAGTCAAAAAACTCCCAAGTAATTGAAACGTTTCCATTTTTCAATTCCCAATGACTGTTTTTAAATTTCCTTCCATCTTATCAAAAAATATGTTTAAAAACATTAGAAACAAACCATCTTCTTTGACCTGAAACGAATTTCCCACCCCCCTGTGATTTTTCAGAATTACTGACGAACCGAAAAATCAGTTATTCACCCAGCTCTAGGTTTGAGATCAACTCAACAAAACCTTCCCTGTGTGTGTTCATCACAGCAGGTGTCCGTGGGGGAAGGATTCTGCTTAGAGCTGGCTGCTTTTTGAGAACTGTCTCCACCATAAGAATTACCACACACTGGTCCATTTGTTCCTATAACCCGTTTCCAATAGTGGCCAATAAAAGAAGAACATGTGAAAACCCAACAGGCAGATGGGTAATCTATCCCGCATAAAGGCCCAATCCTAACCTCTAATTAGTCAGAGACTGACTGAAACCATGAAGCACAAGACTTTATGTCCCATCTGAAATCTTTGTTAGCATCTGCTGCTTTAGCTTTGGATATTCGCATTATCCATAAGAACATCCAACCCCTCTTTGGAGCTTGCTAAGTTCTTGGCTTCAACAACATCCAGTGGCAGTGAGTTCCACCTGCTATTACATGTCAAGTGAACAAAGCACTTCCTTTGATCGGTTTAGACATGGCTACCCTCCAAATTCACGGAGAGTCCCCTTGTGAGACGGGGAGACCAGAAGCTCCTTCTCTAGACCAGTCAGTATTGTACAGACTCGTACCTTGTCCCATCAAATTTGTCTCCTTTCTAAACTGAACAATCCTGTACTTTATGTTGGTAGGTGGATGAATGGGTGTGTAGGAGGGGAAGGAGGGAGATCCCAGGGCACTTTCCCCAAGATTTGTGGTGTTAAACTCAATTTTAGGCTCCAATTCCAGCTTTGGCCATTTCTTAAACTCCTCCTGCAGTTTCACTTGGATACAAGATCTGCCTTTCATTCCACCCCAGGGGCAGCTTCATCTCAGCACCAGGCAAGGGATCCCTGTATAAACAGGTGCTGCAGCCCACCCCAAAGACAATCCCATTTAGATTCCAATGGAGTGACACCAATTTACACTAGCGGGGATCTAGCCCGGCTGACTCCAATGGAGCCATGGCTCTTTTACATGCTAGGGCAATGTCGGTGTACACCAGCTGGGGATCTGTTCCATAATTCTGCTATTACAAACAAACTGGTCCTAACCCTAAAGATTAAATTCAACATAGAAGCCAACATAAGTGACCTAGACAGAGCCAGCCCTGCATCTACATAACTGAGGCCAGTTCAGTGACTCGCCCTGATTTACATTGGTCTCACCAGGAGCGGAATTTGGCCTTAAAATGGTGCACAAGAGCGGTGCTACCTCATTTTAAGAATCCAGACGAATCTCACAGCGTCGCCCACCTCCCAAGAGTCTACTGCGACATTCATCATTTCCCCTTAAATCACCCTCTCTTGGAGTCATGTGATGACAATAGAATCATGTTTTCTAGCTTAGGAAATGCTGGGAAAATTGGGAAACTCTAAAAGGCTGTAGGAAATCCAGAAGCTGAGTTACAGTGAATCCCAACACTGGTTACACATTTTATTAGAAGATCTCCTGATTTCTCCTGCCGATCTCCTGAGTTCTCAAAGGCTTGAGAGTGAATCATATGCTCCTGGAGGGAGAGAAGCAAAGCTCAAATTTCTCCTTCAACAGCATGTGGAACAGAATCTGCCCTGTGGGCGGGGAGGGGTATCTGGGGCTGCTATTGGCAGGGGCAGAGGTGAGTGTGTGCCAATTTCTCCCCTTCTCTTGGGGCGATAAGTCTTTCGTCTCACAAATGGCAATTTGTGGGCACCCGACTCTGCTGCTTACACGCCATCTCATTTCCCACAGCTGTCGAACCGGCAATCAGGTTTAATAAAGGCACAGGATTAGACAGCTGAATGAGGAATCTCATTGGCCTAACAATGCGATTACTACAGACAGTGCAGACAGTCCCCCCAACTCCGGGACCCATCCCAGCTCCGAGACAGCGAGCTCAGCGGGATGCTGAAGGAGGGAGACAGGTGGGTTAGCTGTCAAACTGCAGTTAGCAAGCAAGCTAAGAAGGCTGCCCAGGGCGCACTGAGGGTGGCTGCAGATAGATATGGTATATAAAATAAAGCATGGGAGGGCACGGATAGAGATGTGCACAGACACCAGTACGTGCATGATCACACAAGTAAGTATGCAAATACACCCCCATACATGTACACACATATGCAAATGCATGTACACATGTATGTAAATGCATGCACACACGTGTCTGCAAATACACACACATATGCAAACACATATAATATAGGCACACATGTATGCATATACCTGTATGTCTACAAATACATACAGACACACACCTGAACAGGGCCCAATTTTCTATTCACCCTTCCTGTTTGACATCTCTGCAAAAAATGGCGCCTGTGTTTCTCTTGTTCTCATCTTTTATTTACCCCAGCTGCACTGCAGCCCCCACCTCCTGACCCCGGCTACAATCCACTGCAATCATGACACTCACTCCTCTGCGGTTCCCGCCCCGCGTGGCAAAAGAGTGCAGGACTTGAGAGCCCCCCAGCGACCTGTCTCAGGCCACTGGATAAAAGGATCCCAAAGCGCACACTGGCTCCCTTCCATCACACCTGATTAACAGGGGGCAGTTGGTGAGGATAGCCAAAGAGCCTGCCGGGGGAAAGGAGACGGAGGGAAAATGCCCCTCCAGTGCTCTGCAAGTTCTCGCTGCAGCTCCCAATGGCGCCCCCTGCCGCTGTGCGGCTGCTAATTGTCACAGCTCCCCTCGTCTCCATCAGAAGCCAATGTGTGTCCTGAACGCAATGCCGCAGAGCACAGGCTCCGCACGGGCGGCCAGTGGCACAGGGCCCTGTTTGCATCAGCCCCAGCCTCCCGCTGCTGCCAGAGCACAGCAGCCCCGGATAATGGCTCGGAGCAGCCCCTGGCAGGGGCAGAGGGGGAAGCCAGCATCCCGAGCCACAAGGTGCTGTGGGGCACTGAGTATGGCAGGGAGCCCCAGACTGGGGCTCTTGACCACACCCCTCTGCAGGAGGGGGGGTCACACTCATCACAAAGCATCTGCACAGTGAGACCCCAGGAAGGGGTCCTGGGTGGCACACGGAGTGGTACCTGCGCTGGCACTGCAGGGGGCATGGTCAGACAGCCCTGTCCTCTGAGCTCAGCTACCCCTCTGGAGTCTGCATCCCCGGTTTTGGGCCTCCTCTCTCTGCTTCCTGGAAGCCGGGGTAACTGGGTAGATAGAGGGGCGTGTATGACAACAGAGACATCAGGACTAGTGGATTCTAGTCCCACCCTTGGGAAGGGAGTTGGGTCTCGGGGGTTAGAACAGCCCAAGTCAGAGTCAGGACTCCTGGGTTCTATTCCCAGCTCTGAAAGGGGAGTGATGTCTAATGGTTACAGCAGGTGAGGGGTAGGGACTCCGCACCCCTGGGTTCTATCCTGAGCAAGTCCCTGTCCCTCTGCCTCAGCATCATGCACTATAAAATGGGGAGGACAGATCTGCCTTGTTAAGCCGTTTGAAGGCTGCAGTGGGAAAGCTGCTACAGCACTGAGATTGATGCTATACCCAGATTAACCCTTTCCCTCCCTCCCTCCCTCCCTCTACAGAGAGCCCGTCCAGCTGAGCCTGTGAGATCCATCCATTACATGGCTCGCCCAGCTGCCATCGCCCCAAGCTTCCCCTCTCCCTGGAGCCAGGCTATGTCGTGCTGCTGCCCCCCACCCCCTCACCTGCCACGGACCCAGGCGTCCTGAGCAGGAGGACCACAGAGCCCGACTCTGGAGCACCCCGACGTGAGTCGAACATTTTAGCTTCATTAATTGGAGGGTTGGGGGGATGCAGCTCAAAAGGGGGTTATTAAAACATCCGATCTTTGGTTTAGAAAACGGAGGCAGGGAAGGAAAGCACTATGGACACAGCATGACCTACATATACACCCCACTCTACCTAGCCATCTATCCCTCCCCCCACCCCCAGTGTCCCCCTGTACATCATTAGCTGTGGCATGTCCATGCATGGAGCGGGCCTGGCAAGGGGCCATGGCTGGCTGCTGAAGGTTGCTCGGCTGCTCCAGGCCCTTGCGTTGTGGCCTGATGTTCATGCTCACAGACAGTACTGGAACAGCTGGGCCCCGAGGCAATCCCTGTGGGGCTGGGGCCCTGCAAACACAGGGACTTGGAGAGCGGCAGCCAGCAGACAGAAGGCCCTGGCTGATGCAGAGGGCGGGCATTGCACGGATTCACAATGGCACACCCGGCGGCAGAGTGGGCATGCTAGTGTCTGGAGCAGGGGGCCTGTGTGTTAGGGATGGCTGGGAGGGGAGGGGAGGGGAGCTCAGGGCTGGGATCAGACAGCAGAGGCTGAGGGGCTGGAGTGATACTCAATTGAGTATTTAAGCTGCTGCATCACATAAGGGCTCCTAAACAAGCTCCTTCAATTTCTCGGTATGCATGTGGGTCGGAGAGCAGCCAGGACTCCTGGGTTCTATTCCCAGCTCTGGGGAGGGTGGGGTCTAGTGGGTAGAGCAGAAGAGGCTGAAACTCCTGCGTCCTATCCCCAGGTCTATGGAGGAGAGTGGCTCCCCCTAGCCCCTGCATGACTGCCTGGTTTGTGATTCAGCTGGCGCTGACATGTCCTCACTGAGGCTGGGGGGGGAGGGGGCACCCAGAGCCCTTTAACTCACTTTTATTTGTCCTCAGAATTGCTATTGATTTACAAGTGCTTGAACTCTGCCCAGCCACTTCCAAGTATGATGAGTTGGAGCTGGCCCAGGCCCACTCCCTTCCCCTCCTCAAGAACAGAAACCAGGAGCCCTGACTCGACCCCCACCCCCATCCCACCCATTCTAACTCTCCCACTCCCCTCCAGTCCCCCTGATTTTAGAAGCTATTTCTAAGCCTTCTCATCCTTTCCTCAAGCCCCAATTCCAGGATTCCTTTGCTCCCCCCTTGTTAATTGCAGTAGCTAGAGCCAGCCTGTCCCCATCCCCACAGGCAGTCTTGGCCAGCTCAGAGCCCCAGCTGTTTGCTCCATAGTTCATTCTAAGATCAATATCCTTGAGAAGAGGCTTTTCCATTCCCCAGAGGCAGCTGGCTCTGTGCTAACTGAATCCTGCCCTTCGTCCCTAATCCAGCAATGCAGCTACAGGCTCGCCAGCAATTTGATGGGCTAATGCTCTGATTTCCTCCAGGAAAAGCTACTCTGAGCATTGGAGGCTACGGGAGTGATTGGATTGCAAGTTAGGAACCAGCCTTACTGTTATGGTACCAGCTAGAGATCTCCACCCGTCCTGCCAGGCGCTGCACAGACCCTGGCCGAGACCAGGCCCCAATAGCACCAGGCGCTGCACAGACACAGAGTGATGATCCCTGCCTTAGAGACCTCTCAATCTGAACAGACAAGGGGTGGGAAGGGAAACAGAGGCATCAAGTGGGGAAGGAATTTGCCCAAGGTCACCCAGAAAGTCAGTTCCAGCCTAGTCCCTTATCTGCTGAATCTTGACATCTGTAAATCTGTCCATAAAACCTACATGCTATGTTGGGAGTTTGTGTGTGTGGGACAGGACGGAGCCCACAGCTGGGATAGCAGAGGGTACAGGGCGGGATTGAGGGGATCAGGCAGAGGTGGGAGAAGCCCAGGGCTGGGATAACAGGGGGATGCAGGACAGGATTGAGGGGCTCAGGCACAGCTGGGGGGAGCCCAGGGCTGGAATAGCAGGGGTTGCAGACCGGGATTGAGGGGCTCAGGCAGAGCTGGGGGGAATCCAGGGCTGGGATAGCAGGGGGTGCAGGGCGGGATTGAGGGGCATAGGCAGAGCTGGGGGAGCACAGGGCTGGGATAGCAGGGGGGTGCAGGGCAAGATTGAGGGGCACAGGCAGATCTGGGGAGCATCCAGGGCTGGGATAGCAGGGAGTGCAGGTCAGGATTGAGGGGTGCAGGAAGAGCTGGGGGAAGACCAGGGCTGGGATAACAGGGGGGTGCAGGGCGGGATTGAGGGACACAGGCAGAGCTGGGTGGAGCCCAGGGCTGGGATAACAGGAGGGTGCAGGGCGGGATTGAGGGGCATAGGCACAGCTGTGTCAATTATTTTAAAGCACACATCCTCCAATTGCAGACTCCCACTGTATCAGCAGCACTGGGGCGTAGAAAGACATGCATGTTATTTCCATACTGGCGCTTGGAGAGATGGCGCTGAACCTTTGCAGCTGGGGGAGGGGCGGGTTGCAGAAACAAATTCCAATTACAATCCACATTGGGATCCCAGCAACGCGTTTAATTTAAACCGACGCGCAATAAAAAGCTGCAAATCTGAACACTGTGGAGTCTTGGGGGATATTGAACAAATTGCCTGGCAGAGAAATGCATTAAAAATTACCCTGCAATCAGAGTTAGAACAAACTAAAAAGTCAAATTACAGGAAGCGAAATCCATATGTAAATGAGAGACACTGGGAAGTGGGAGCAAGCCTATGTGAGTGGGGATGGGAGCCAGGACTCCTGGGTTCTCTCCCCAGCTCTTGGAAGGGAGAAATCAGTGATGTTGAGTCTGGTATCTTCTTCGTGCAGTTTGTTTATTTACATTATATACCTTTAAAAAAGAAAAGCACCCTAAGAATCCCATGACTTTAAGGAAAATGCCAAATATCATGAGATTCAGGATAAAATCCTGAAGATTAGCAATGCTGCTCTGTTAATTATACCCACTCCCTTCCCACAGGCAGGGAGAGATCCCAGGAGTCCTGGCTCCCACCCACGCCTTTGCCCTAACCACTAATCCACCTTTTCCAGCAACCACAGTTACACCCAGCGAGTTTGTTTGAAAAACCAGCACGTCTGTAATCAATGTGGGATCTTACACAGCTTTAATTCCCCCAAACAGCAGCCTCTGTCTTAGGTTCCACAACTGGTGCAGGAGAGGGTGAGGAAAGGGCTGCTTTGCTTAGAGAAGATGCACATTGGTATGCAGTTTGCCTCTGGCAAGACAAAATAGAACCTAGGAGTAGGAAATCTTCATTCCTCCTCATGCAATGAGCCTATTACAGCCCCTAGCAGCACTGCTAGGCATGGAAATAGGTATAGCTCCTATGATGCATGCAAAACCATTTGGGAACAGTGTTTAGAGTATTAAGGTACTGGGCTGAGTACAGGGATAACTGGGTGAAATGTAATGACCTGAGATGTGCACAAGGTCAAACTAGATGATCTAATGTTCCTTAAACTCTATGGCTCCATGAAATCTACGAGTCCATGAGTGGAACTGGTCAAGAAAGTTTCATCCAAAGAGGTTTCCATCAAAAAATGTGGCATCATGGGAACTTGTTGATTCCAACGATACTTTCAAAGGGAGAACGTCATCATGGACCCTCTCAATTTTCTCGTTTTGATGATGTCGAAACATATCCTAGAATTATAGCAATGTAGGACTGTAACGGGCCTCAAGAAGTCATCTAGTGCATCCCTAGGGCTGAGGCAGGATGAGTCTGTGCCCAGAATGCAAGAAGGATGTTGAGAAATTGGAGAGGGTTCAGAGAAGAGCCATGAGAATGATTAAAGAATTAGAAACCATACCTTATAGTGATACACCCCAAGAGCTCGGTCTATTTAGCTTAACAGAAAGAAGGTTAAGGGGCGACTAGAATACAGTCTCTAAGGCCTGGTCCCCACTAAGTCCCCACTTCGGACTAAGGTACGCAAATTCAGCTACGTTAATAACGTAGCTGAATTCAAAGTACCTTAGTCCGAATTTACCGCGGTCCAGACGTGGCAGGAAGGCTCCCCCGTTGATGCCGCGTACTCCTCTCGGCGAGCTGGAGTACCGGCGCCGACTGCGAGCACTTCCGGGATCGATCCGAGATCGATTTATCGCGTCTTAACCAGACGCGATAAATCGATCCCAGAACATCGATTGCCTGCCGCCGGACCCTCCGGTAAGTGAAGACAAGGCCTAAGTGTCGACATGGGGAACAAATCTAGCAGAGACAGATCTAACATGATCCAATGGCAGGAAGCTGAAGCTACACAAATTCAGACTGGAAATTAAGCATCATTTTTTAATGGAGAGAGTAATTAACCACTGGAACAATTTACCCAGGATAGTGGTGGATTCTCCATCACTGATCATTTTAAAATCAAGATTTAATGTTTTTTTAAAAGATCTCCTCTAGGAATTATTTTGGGGAAGTCTTATGGCCTGTGTCATACAGGAGGTCAGGCTAGTTGATCACAGACGGCCCTTCTGGCCTTGGAATCAGTGGGAAATGTTTCATTTCAGTGTCACCATTTTGATTTGTTTAGTTTTCACTTTTCTATGCTATTCAAATATTTCTAATAATATATTACATGTAGATGTGTCATGTATATATTATCTATAGTACATCTGTTACACTGAATAGTTTAATAGCATAGAAAAGTTGAAAGAAAATGAATCAAAGGAAAATGATCCATTTTTACCTTATTGAGAATGTCCAACCATTTCTTTTCAAAACAAAATGTTCCAAAGGTCCCTGATCATTGTAATTTGGCCCTTGCTTTTCTTCAGAATGAAAAAATCCTTCACAATGTTGGGTTTCCTGTAGAACAGAAATTGTATTTTCCCATCTGCCCTGAGAAGGAGTTTACCTTCATCTTTGACAGCTCTGATGCGTATTTTATCCTTTCACAAGAGCTGCAGAGGTGCATCTAGGAGCCAGGCTTTTGATCAGCGTGCATATGTTGAGTCGTAACAAAGTAGTTAAAAGCCAAGCCAGTTTTCTGAGGAGAATTTGCAGCAGGTGCTACAAAAAAGAGAACACCCC